TCTCTCTCTCTCTCACTCGTATCAATAAATGGAACAAAACTCTCTCTCTCTCTCTCTCTCTCTCTCTCCCTCTCTCTCTCTCCCTCTCTCTCGTGTCCACTCTTTGTCTCCGCAATCTGACACATATTCCAATTTTGTCATTCAGCCCCTCTCTCTCTCTCTCTCTCTCTCTCTCTCTCTCTCTCTCTCTCTCGTGCACACGCTTAGACCCATTGCCTTGGCTACCTTAGGGCTGCGTCCCCACGCCCATGCTGTAGACAATACACATGCGGCACACCTGCCGTTTCGACCACTACTGCTGCCACCTGCCTGCCGCCTGCACCTTTTCGCTGTTTCCACTACTGCTGCCGCCCGCCTGCTGCACCTTTCTGTTGTTTTCCCACACATTCTCACGAACGCGGTTCCGCCCCTTGCAAGGCCCCAAAACCTCAAAATGCCCACCCTCCCGAAAGACCACCGAGGTTGACAGTGCTCTCCTGACGCGGTTCGGGAAAACCTCTTAGAGCGTTGGTTTGAGCGCTGGGGGTAAGTACGCTCCCAAAGATCCACGCCCAACCGACTTTTCGTTTCTGGTTGTTTATGCAGGCGAGGAAGGCCTCGTTTTGGGTGGTGAAGTCGATTTCACTCTTTTCTAGATGGCCGAAGGGATTTGAACCCGTTAGCCTTTTTGTCGCTACATAAAGGTGACGGCAACATTTGTGATCGCTCTTTCCTTTTAGACGCCCGACAGTCGAACAGGTGTGAAGCCCCTAGATCGATTGAGAGCCACTCGATCGTGGGATCGAAATGGGGACGGTTGCCATGAGTTTCCAGCCCAAAGCCTCGTTCCACCGCTCGCCAAGCAAATGCATCTTTCCGTGTTTCCTGCAATGTGCATTCGCTACTTTCGCATCCGGCGAGTAGTGGAACGAGGCGTCAAGGCCCGCATGCAACGGCCAAGCGATTCCGTGGTGTGAGGTCGAGTGCCGCTGCGGGAGGAAGTTGAGGGGTAAATTGGTAATTGGTAACTCCTCTGTGCTCGAGGTTCGATCCCCCGTGACTCGATTTGAGATGGTCTCGACCCAGCGGAACAAAGACTCTGTGCGGGGATGAAATCAGACTCGGACTCGGAGAAATCAATCGAGAGCGACAACTCTGCGCGGGGATGAAATCGGACTCTCGGACTCGGAGAAATCAATCGAGAGCATCAACGCCCGAAATTAATCACAGTTTTCTGCACTTTGGCACTTTGGCACGTTGGCGGGAAGAAAGATTGATTGGGTTTGTGTTCGTTCCCAAGGGATTGGCTACGTTGCGCACTTACAGCGCAGGTGTATGTATAAGTTGATTACAGTATCGTGTGAGCACTTGACACGTGTCAAACAGTCGTGAAGCGTGAAGCAGTTCTAGTGCATTGGCGCACATTGCAGCTCTCTGCTGAGTGGCCGCTGGTTCGGCCTGCCAACTGAAGGAGGGGGGTCTCGCAGCGCTACAGCTACACTAATTGAGTCTCGTTTGGTCGCGCGATGACGTCGTCGTACGCGTCGATTACACGTCGCGTACGTCGAACACGTGGCAACGTTTTATCCACGAGGGCTCTTGCCCGCTTAGAGTAGGCTGTTAGGAAGGAAACTGCATGAATCTCCGGGGTACGATTCTTGTTGTTGTCAACAAATTGTCTGCAAATGCTCCTCTTGATCGAGCGGGTAGTAACTCTGGACCGGATGGGAAACCAACGGCATGGTGTCAATCTGCCACCGTTAGCCACCGTTAGCATTTCAAGATCGCAACCGTTAACTCTGGTGCCAGTCAACGGCTTCGCGTCGTGAGCGATCTGTTCCCTTCTCAGTTGTTTGCTGTCCCGTACCAGAGAGAGCCTTCTGTGCCGCCGAGCTGATGGCGCGATTATCAGGGTTGAGTCCTCTGAGACTCGCCGTGTGAGCAGAACAGCCGCGCGCACACACACACACACACACACACACACACACACACACACACACACACAGAGAGAGAGAGAGAGAGAGAGAGAGAGAGAGAGAGAGAG